TAGAAATCTAAGTATGTAATATACCCTCTCAGGACAACCTCTGCTGATATTTTCCCTCACAAAAGAGGGCCAGTAGTTGCCACGCTTGGTAGGCAGGTTGGCAACCGCAGTTAGGCTTTGTGATGTTTTAAGAGGTACGCTGCCCATTCGTCAACCATCAAGTTCTATTAGTCGCCTCTTACGACACCCATAGGAAAGGAAGGGATGGCCCATTCTATGCCGGGATTGCACGGTTTTGACTAAAAATTTGACTAAAAGTTGAAAGGTTGTCTGGAAGAGATTGCTTAGCGATAAGGCCACCTTTTTATATCACTTCTCATTAATATTTATTATATTTCTTATTTTTCCTTTTACTTGGTGCAATAAAGTTTAAAATAAATTAATATATTTATAAAATAAATTTGTGACTATTTTCTGTGTGTGATTTTCAGCATTTACAGCATCGGTGCAATCGCAAAGAAAAGTCAAGAGTGACACTTCTACCGAGATAAATAATCACTCTTGACTTTCCTTTTAAACTTTTATGTTTAGGGCGTGGTGAATCGAATCAAATTCATTACTGTCACTATGTCACTACATAAACTGATGACACGTCTGTACACGCCCAAACGTCACACACACTCACACATTTGAGCCGAACAATATGCGTTATTTTTCTATACTGTTATATCTATTTGCGACAGAGAGAGGATGAGGTCAACTCAAGAGAGAAGCAGGAAGTGGCCATGTAAGAAGTAGTACTAATGATATTTATAATCGTACTGTGATAAAAATCTTTATCATGTTTAAATTGTGTCGTTGGTATCACAGTTTACCAGCAGCTTTAAAGCTTGATATAGCAACATTAAGCTTTAAAGCTTGATTGACACTAAAAATAACGATTTTTGTGTCAATCAGATACATCTGAAATTTGTAGCAAAATTTTTATTTCTTATTTTTACGTTTTTATTATTAAAAAATAATTACAATATTTCTAGTTATTGGTCGAATTAAGTTATTGGTTTAATTGAGAATGTTTATTTTTTTTCTAAAGATAAAGTAATTAAAGTATTATAATCATCTGCCTTTAACTGTCCACTGCTGAACAGAAGCATCCTCCTTGAGGGGTTTTACTAGTAGTTGCCATGCTTGGCAAGCAGATTGGCATTCGCAGTTAGGCTTTGGAGATGTTTTAAGAACGACGCTGCTGCCTATCCTTTGACCATTAAATTCCCTCAGTCGCCTTTTACGACAACCGTGGAAAAGGAAGGGGTAGCCTATTTTATATAGGCCACTTCTTTCTTTTCCTGGGTGTCGTAAAAGGCAACTAAGGGAGGGCATGTCTCTCTACATTTACCAGAGGCAGACTTTGTACAAAAGTCATTTGCTTGAGTACCTCTGTTTCATTCGTGTTTCAACCGTGAAGCAGTTGTGTTTGCATGGCTGTGTTTCAGTTAAAAGGTGGAATATAGCAGTGAATTTACAGGGTACAGAGGAATAACACCTGAGTCCTCAGAAATGGCAACGCATGAGGGTATCATGGGCGAAACAGTATACTCTGTTATGTCCATGGTACTGCTCATGTCTATAGGTGACGGTTACCACTTTCCATCTGGTGGGCCGTCAGCTTGTTTGCCATTCTAAGTTGTATAAAAAAACATAGATAGTTGTAAATATTTCAAGTTACGACCTTTTCTAAATTGGCTCACGTCTGGTTGTGGTCAGCGGCATTCTAGATTGTAACTATTCCCATACTCCGTTCATTATTCGCCTAATTTTCTCTAATAACTATTATCTAAAATTAATGTTATCTTAGAATAAGCATCGTATTATTTTATAAAGTTTTATATAAATAAATGTAGTTTGAATCTTCAATTTTTCTCTCACCAAGTATACTTGTATGAAAAGTTGGTATGAAAGGTAAAAAGAACAATAAAATATGACGTGGTTCAAAACCTTTACGTTATAATAGTTGGTAATGTCAAGGCAGGACGTTTACATGTCAATTCAATAGAAAAATAAAAGAAAAACCCCAGCAAGCGAGGAATTCCATAAGACAGACGTTAGAAACAATGTACAGACACAACAAAAACGCCTAATCCATAAAAACCCACATAGATGCTCATATTCATAATTAAACATCGTAATAACCGCTCGATAGAAACGAGATAAACATGCTTCGGCGCTCATACAAATAGTCTCTAATCACTCGATTACTATTCTATTGTCCGTATGCTGTAAAGAAACATGCAAGTCATACCGTACGTGTACTTGCGTGTTGTAAGTATAATTGGAATGTTGTCTTATATACAACTAAGATGGCAAACAAGCATACGGCCCGTATAGGCTACAGTAACCCTACCGTGGTACGAGGTGCCCCTATAATTTTAGAGTTGTTTACAGTTAGAATGTTATTTCATATAAGGATGAAAGACTCTTACTGTTGAATATATTTTTATATACAACAATAATGGCAAACAAGTAAAAGGCCCGTATAAGCTACTATAACCCTGTTCTGGCACGAGTTACTGCAACTTACTGGCATGAGGTACTTACAATAACAAGATTATCGACCTTTATAAAATATTGTTTTATATTTATACAAAAAAAAACGTAGTAAATTAACGTAGGACCCATATAGGCCACGGCAACCCTACAGTAGTATGAATTACTATAGACTATAAATACCTGAAATACCAGGGTTTTTGTAATGAGTGATAATGGAACGGTAATTGCGCCTGCACTATCGATATATACAAGTGAAGTATAATAGTTAATAAAGAAAGCAAACCAGTTAACCCATCTTGACGAATTCCGAAAAAAATAATCAAGATGATTTCCAGGAGGAATCCCGTAGAGGTCGACCTGTTAGGGTATATTGATAGCAATGAGCTGTTAAATCTCCATTACTAACAATCTCTTTTTTTCCAAAAATCAAGGTTCTCGGCCCTTACAGTCAAAATATTGTTTCATATATACCTAACAAACATACGACCCGTATAAACTATGATAACCCTACCGTTATACAAGTTACCATAGCCTATTAACGCCTTTAACGCTAGAGTTGTCCAACCTTACCTTGTTTTATAATTTATGTAAGTAGCCAACAAGCGTACAGCCTTTATAGGCTAAGGTAACCCTATTATGATACAAGTTACTGTAGCCCATGAACACCTGAAATAACAGAGAGCTATGAAGGTACAGCGACATTAGCACCTTTGTCCTCATAAATAACACGTGTTGCTTCATTAGTATATACTGAATAACGGTTAGGGATTGATGATTAATAGGGAAAGTCGTAGAGTCTCCATTAATAGTAATCAAACTTTAAATCAAATGTTGATAATTGTACGCATACAAATAGTAGAAAAATTTAAAATAGACCTCATTCTATTCTAGAGAATTCAGATGAGACTTTAAGAAATATATTTAAAAATGAAAAATATCTCAGCCTGACTAACATATATATTATGGAATTGTGTGTTTTTGTTAATAATAATATGACATATTTTGTTAATAAATCCGATATTCGAAATAATTTACGTAATAAATACAAATATGATATTTGTCTACCAACAATAAATAGTTATACATATGGAAGGAGTGCAATTGTAATGGGTATTAAAGTATTTAATCATCTTCCCTTAAACATTAAATGTCAGGATAAGCATATGTTTAAAATTAAACTCAAAGCCTGGCTTTTTGATAATGTTTTTTATAATTTAAATGAATACTTCAATCTTAAAACTCATTAAATTAATAATTAATAATAATTGACATGTAAGCGAAATTATGTTTATTTTATTTTAATTCGGTTATGATTATTCTTTGTCTTGTTAATTGTATTGTATAATATTTCATATTTATTTGTAATCAAGTAATGGTAATAGTATTGAATGTTTCGATGTTAATATAATTACCTGTTCTTAAATTGTTGCATGCCCGATAGGGTATAACTGTTGATACTGATGTCAAATTCAAAGCAATAGTTACTGCTATATGTATGTACACAGTTAGCAATAAAATTCTATTCTATTCTATTCTATTCTCCCCGTGAGGGGGATTTTGCCTGTGGTGGCCACGGTTGGTAAGCATGTTAACAACCACAGTTAGACTTTTGTGGTCTACAGTTCTTTAAACTGACGCAAATATGCCACAATCTTTTAGGCCAAAACTATGGCCATAACAAGATGTGTAGAACTAAATCTAAGTTTTAAATATATAAATAATAATATATTTATTTACTCTGATGACCAAGCGGCGTTACTTACACGTGACTCATGCGAAATTAAGTCAAAACTTACAAACAACTGCATAATATTATTAAATTACTTGGGTAGCTGAAATAACATTATCTTGAGACGGATTCCTAGTCACTCAAATATTCATGGAAATGAAATAGCTAACCAATTAGCATTGTAAGGGACAAAGAATACCCAAATAGGACCAATACCTTATTGTGACATACCCTTTGTGGCGTACCGTTCACTGCTAATTCCTACAATGATAGGAATTAGCGTTTTCCATAAGTTCACTTAGTTGCCTCTTACAACACCCATGGGTAAGGCAGGGGTGGCCCCTCCTATGCCACGATTACATGATATTCATTCACTTCATATGAGTATTTTAAATATAAAATAAAATTTGCTGTTTACTTCTGCTAAAAGATGTTGCTTTTCTTCAACGAATACTTTTTCCTTTTACAATTGTTTAAAACTATAGATGTATTTTTTTATATAAGTATTTAAATAATCTATTGTGCACTTGTACTCCCTCAACCTGAAGTTTTCTCATTCATAGTTCTAAAGTAAAGCAATTCAATATTAGTTTTATTTTGTGCCAGTACAATATATATCATTTATTTTTAATTTGATTGGAAAATATATCTTACCAGCTAATATTTTCTTAATCAACAGACACGTGTGGAAAGTTATTAATAATTCTTATAAGTTTTTAAAGTTAGTTAATATTATAGTTTTTGTACATGTCAGAAGCTTATAAAGTGAACATTTGTGTTCCAGTATCGCCGACTCGGACTACAAATGGCGGTAGTGTACACGCGTCGCCCGCGCGGGAACTGTCGCGCGACACGCCCGACTACCAATACGGGCGGTTCGACGCAAGCGCACTCCATATTGCGCATGCGCTTAAACAAACAGAGCTGCAGAAGGCTTACCACCGACCTAGGGAGAAACCCATTGACTGCTACTTGGTAAGTTATAGTTTTATTATTGAATACTAGCTGTACCCCGCGGCTTTATACGCGTGAATAACTACATAAATTATCCTACGTGCTAAGTTAGGATATAACCTATCCGTGTACCAAATTTCATTCAAATCCATTTAATAGTTTTTGTGTGAAAGTGTAACAAACATCCATCCACCCATCCGTCCGTCGTTAGAAACTTTTGTATTTATTATATTAATAGGATAGTCTAAACGGGAACACGAACTGGGGATAACGTGACATATAAGTACGTGACGTATTTGATAAGTTCTACAAGAGTATCTAAGAAGATGACGATAAGAAAATAGTCTTGGTAGGCACGGCAAAAAATTCGGGGCACAAACCCGATCATATTTTTGCTAAGAAAAATAAATCCTTTTCTAAGTGTTACTTTTGACTAAATTATTATTGTATTATATTTTCTTTAAAAACATATAAATGTTTATTTATTTATAAATATGTTGCTAGCATCCATAGGCTACAGTGACCGTTTACTATCAGACGGGTTATATGCTTCTTTGCCGCCTTCGTAGTGTAAAAAAAAACTTAATTTTTAAATTTATAAATTATTTACTAAATTGTAATATTTAATAATTGAAATTATCAAATATTTTAACATTTTATCATGAACTACTACAAAGTTCTTCGTTATAATTAAACAAGTTCTACCATTTCGTAGAAATAGCATAAGTAGGCGATGACAACACTCCGAATTAGGGATTACAAGTGAAGCAACCTTGAAGCAAACGCGAGCATATGCCTTGAGGACAATACATGTCAAATGTTACACGAAAAAGCAATGAGAATGATGGAATTGGAACATACTGAGCATATTAATCATATTCCATTGTGTATGGGCGTAGATATTATTGCAATATATACTTCTTGCTCGACACATTGCCAGATTGAATCCTTTTTTTTGCAATTTTGTGTAATAATTTTTCTGTTAAGAACCCAGCGCTCTAAAACCATTAAAAAAAAGCATAGTTTACCCAGCCCCGGGTGAGTGAATCTTTTCTATTAAAAATAAAATTAAATCCGTTCATAGGCACAAAAAAAATAACCGACAAATTCAAAACCACCTTCTTTTAAAAAGTTGGTTTTAGAATAAAATCTTATTTTATCCTACGAAAGTTTATATATTATATATTTGTTACCTAATCTAAGTCTGAAAAAATTTCAGTGAAATTTGGTACATAAACGAATCATGACTACAATTATTACGTTGTATACTTTTTGTCCTTATTTATAAAAGCAAAGCTGAAGTTCACAACTTGTTTGCTAATAAAGTAAAAATACTAAGAGTTCCAATTTTATATTGCGTATAAAGCAGGAGTGTTGCCATGCATTGCATTACAAATTATACCATTATTGATCAAGTGTTCCTATTTTGCGGTTTCGAAGGCAATTTCCAGTCATTTACATAAATGTCAACATTGGTCTAGGTTTCTATATAATTTTTCTGTATTTTATTGTATTTTTTTACACTAAATATGATGAAATTTTGAAGTTTCTTATTTATTATTTAAAATACTACTTAATTTGTGTGGTCCCGTCATAGAACAGGCCACCACTTCCTTTCCTGTAGCTGTCGTAACAGAGCGACTAAAGGAACTTCATGGTAAAAGGATGGGTAACAGCGTCCCTCTTAAAGCATCTCTAAAAACCTAACTGCGGTTGCTAAGCGTGGCAACTACTGGCAAGACTGCCCTTATGGGAAAGGCTTATTGTTCAACAAAAGACAGTTAACGGCTGAAATGAAAAACCACTTTAAAAAAGGATTATCAATTTGTTTATATTCTGTAGGTATGCACCAATTTTCTATTAATTTTTTTAGTAAACTTTGTTGGAATTATTAGTAAAACACTCTCATTATGAATAAAATCAGTAACAAATCAAAGCAGTCATACAAATAATTAATTTTTGATTGGTATCTACCACAATTGGACATCAGCAGACTGTGTTATAGTCAAGTTGATTATATGTTTGTTTATATTTTCATTAAATTGTTTTGACACAGAATAAAAACTATGAATATACATACATACATACATATCTGTCACGCCTGTCTCCCATTAGAGTAGGCAGAAACAATGGAACGCCAAATGCTTCGATTCAAACAAACCTCTTTCGCTTCTTCCACATTCATCAATCTTTTCATACACGCTCGCCGGTTACGGGTACTTTTAATTTGGCCCTTCTTCAGCACGTCGCCTATTTGGTCGACATACGTCCGTCTAGGGCGGCCCCTACCGACATCGCCATTCATTCTTGCTCGATAAATCTCTTTCGTAATTCTTCTTTCATCCATCCTCTCCAAATGACCAAACCAACGCAACATTCCTTTTTCGATTTTTGTCACTACATCGTCTTTCAGTCCACACTTCTCTCTAATCACATTATTTCTTACTCTATCTTTTAAAGTAATACCACACATACTTCTCAAATATGTAGCCATATAGTCCTGGTATAGAATAGGCCACTCCTTCCTTTCCCATGGGTGTCGTAAAAGTCGACTAAGGTAGGCCGAGGGATGGACAGCAGCGTCCCTCTTAAAACATTTTCAAACCCTAACTGCGGTTGCCAGTCCGCCTGCCAAACATAACAACTACTAGCATAACCCCCCCAAGGGCCTACCCCTTATGTTCAACGGTGGGCAATTAAAGATTGATATGATAATGATGAAAAATTATGAAATAAAAAAAAAAACTAATCACTATTTGTTTATTCTAACCTTTCCTAAGAACGAAATACCGCTTTCCTGCTCCACTGTTCATCTCAAAGCTTGACTGATAAAGAATGCTACTTGCATTAAATATTTTACTGATCTAGGTGTTATCTTGCGAAAGTCCAAATCACTGGTTATTGTAATTATTTTGTTTAATTCCGTTACAATTATATTCGTCATAGTCGTAGAATACTGACGGATCTGACAAATATTACATATAAAGATCCGTCAGTATTCTACGACTATGACGATATGTGTGACTGCCAACATTAGAAGATTGACCATCACTATTACTGCCAGAAATTTCATAACCTTCCATATTAACCATCAATCTCCGACGGCCATTTTGTTCACGCACGTTTTGCTACACATGTTTCATCTCTAAACGAGGCATCCTTAGGTAAATTGTAAGATCCCTGCTCGAAGCCTAGTTTTAACCATTCGGTATTCAAACTGCGAAACTAAACTTACTACTAACATTAAGTCCGCCTTTTGCACCATATTTTCATATTGTCAGTAAAGTTATTCAAAATAAATATAAAAATAATATTAAGGGCTTAATGCATTAGAATATAAACGTATCCTGTTATGTATATACCAAATAATCCACACACATCGTATGTACAAAAGAAATTGAAGTTCTGATATCTTAGTATCTGAAGATCTCGCATTCCTGTCCCTTGGAGTAGAACCGATCGCGTGTGCTCGAGAAATCCAAGGCAATATTTTGTCACAAGACAAAAGCGGACAGCGGTATTTATTTTTATCCGTCTAAATAGCTATAAAAAGACTAATATTTTTCGAATATACTCGTATGTAAGATGTCATATTATTAGCCTTAATTAATGTCGAATTTAAGTACTCGTAAATATAAATTACATAAACAGATCATATCAGCCGTAAACTGTACACTGTTGATCTAATAAATCTTCCCCATAAGGGGAGTTTTGCCAGTAGTAGCCATGTTTGGCAGTCGGGTTAGCAACCGTAATTAGGCTTTTAGTGATATTTTCAAAGAAATGCTGCAGCCCATTCGTCGATCATTAAGTGACATAAATAGATATTTATAAAATGCTATCTTTTTGTCATATTCACTTATAAATGAACATATTTTTATTAATAAACAAAAAGCAACAACAATGTAATTTTGGAATATATTATGTGAAACATTAATTAAGTACTATTCTGTATTTCGGATATTATAAATCATTTTTTCATTGCTACTCTGCATCTCTTCTTTCACAAATTAGAATTAACATTTGTAAACTTACACCTCGAACCGAAACTATTTCGCAAAATATGTAAAATATTTAAATAAGATGTGCAGGTATGACCAATATAAGACACATAAATGTATTACCATTAAAATTGTTATAAATGTAACAAGAAATCAAATAGAAGAGAGAATAATATATAGATAATAATATATAAATTCCATGTAATAGAAGTAAACATTTTGTTGTTGGCATGGAAAAGGCCACACTTTCCTTTCCGGTAGGTGTTGTAAAAGGCGACTAACATAGGGCGAGGGATGGGTAGCATCATCCCTTTTAAAACATGTAAAACCTAACTACCATTGCCAATCCGCTTGCCAAGCGTGGCAACTGCTGGCAAACCCCTCCAAGGGGGAGACTTACGTTCAACAGTGGACAGTTCATGATGATAAATAAACGTATTTTAAAAATCTCATTCATCAACGCTAATGCTAGTGATTTGGAACACATGCGAAAAATAGCTCTCGAGTCTGGAGCCATCATTAAGCGAGAAATCTAGCGTGACTCGACAATTACGGGATGATCCGCGGATACTATTGCATTCTTCTACACATTGTATATTAGCCATGGTAATTCTATATTTTCCGCATAACTCTGCTGTTTTTTTGCTTTTCTAAATCTCGCAGCTTTACAATTGTGAGGTATAAGAATTCGTCGCGATGGGATAACGGACCTGCATCCAAACCTATCGTCCCTCACTGGTGCCCCGCCAGCATATACCGGTAGCACAAGCGGGATTACCATTCTATTATCATCCAATAAATATATATACTTCTAAAAGGAGGTTCTACTCGTAATTATGTAATATCTTTGCAAATGTTGAATCGATATTGATGTTGTTTGTTTTCAAATCGATATTGGTTTAATATTAATTGGGTCATTATAATTGTTGTTCCTTCCACAGCAAAATCTTAATTTATTTTGAGATCCCATTTTTATATTAAAATTTACAGTGTGGTCCCAGCGTAGAATAGTCAACCTCT